TATTTTATCAGGACATCCTCCTAAAAATGACTCAAAGGAAAGCAGCTAACAATTTCAAGTGACAAGAAGATGAAATACCTGGAACTTTTTCCTAGTTTGTTATTATCTTCCCACATTTCTAATGCTACCTATCATTATTCCATACTGACCACACCATAAGTGCCAGAAATAAGTGTAATCTGAAACCTTCTAAAGTTTCTGGCTATTTCAGTAACCCTCTGAGTAAAGTGAAAAACAGCTTTTGCATAAAAATTCATATGGAAGAAAAGAATTTCAATATCCAAAGCCATCTTAAACAAGAATAGAATTGAAGCCATCACAATTCCTGATATCCAAATATACTAAAAGCTACTGTGATCAAAACAGTGGGTATTGGCAAAAATAAAGACATGTAGACCAATGGAATGGGATACTAGAAATAAGCCCATGCACATATAGTCCACTGGACTTCGAAAAGAATGCCAAGAAAACACGATGGGAAAAGGAGAGTCTCTTCAATAAAGGGTATAGCAACTCTGCACATGCAGAAGAAAATAACTGGACTCAACAATCACCGTATATAAAAATCAACTCAAAATGGATTAAAGACTTTAACATAAGACCTGAAACCTTAAAACTCCTTGAAGAAAATGTAGGGAAATAATTTCTTGACATTGGTCTGGGCAATGATCTTCAATTTTTTTTTAATCCGCACTTGAGGATATGATTATTAATTTAAAGAGAGAGGAAGGTAGAGAGAGAGGGAAAGGGAGGTGGTGGAGTGGCAGAGAGAGAGAGGGAAACATTGATAAGAAAGAGAAACATAGATCAGTTGCCACCCATACGCCATGCCCCAACAGGGGATCGAACTCGCAAACAAGGTATGTGTCCTGACCAGCGATCAAACACACAAAATTTTGGTGTATGGGACTGTGCCACCCAGCCAGGGCTTGGCAATGATTTTTTTTAGATATCACATCAAAATCAAAAGTAAAGAAGTGGGACTGCATCAAACTAAAAATCTTCTGGACAGCAAAGAAAACCACCAAGAGTAAAAAGGCTACCACAACTGTGAAAAGTATTTACAAACAATGTACCTGATAAGGGGATTGATATTAACACAAATAAGGAACTTGAACAACTCAATAGCCTGATTAAAAAATGGGAAAAGGACCTGAAGAGACATTTCTTACATCAAGATATATAAATGGCCAACAGTATATAAAAAGGTATTCAGCATCATTAATCATCAGGGAAATACAAATCAAAACCACAATGAAGTATCAGCTCACATTTGTAATAAGAGTAAATACTAAAAAGATAACAAGTATTGGTAAAGATGTGGAAAAAAGGGGACCATTGTGCACTGTTGGAAGGAATGTAAATTGGCACAGCCATTAGAGAAAATAATATGGAGATTCTTCAAAAAATAAAATAAAAATAGAACCACTTTTGCTCCATTAATCCCACTTCTGGGTATATATCCAAAGGAATTGAAATCAGTATCTCAAAGAAATATCTGCACTCATGTTCACAATAGCCAACATATGGAAACCACCTATATGTCCACTAATGGATGAATGGCCAATGTAGTACATATATACAATGGAATATGATATAGTCTTCTAAAAGAAGGAAAAATTCCATTTGTAACAACATAGATGAACCTAAAGACATTATGCTAAGCAAAATAAGACAGAGAAGTACCGCATGATCTTGTATGTGGAATCTAAAATTATCTAACTTACAGAAGCAGAGAACAGAATCCTGGTTGCCAGAGGGTGGGAAGAAAGGCATAGGGAGATGTGGATCGGGGAAACGAAGTTCAGTTATGCAAGATGAATAATTCCTGGAAACCTACTGTACAGCAATGTGATTACATTTATCAACACTGTTTTGCATACTTGAAATTTGCTAAAAGAGTAGATTTTAAGGGTTGTCACCACAAAAAAATAATAATGATACATCTGATAAATATGCTACATAGTTTGATTATGGTGATCATTTCATAATGTACCTTATATCAAAATACCCAGTTATATTCCTTAAGTATAAACAATCTCATTTGTGCACGATCATTCAATAAATCTGGGGGGATGGAAGGAAACTGCTTTTAGAGTCAAGACCTTTAAAACAACTGCCATTAATTTTATGACCTCACTGATCTAGGTCTCAAGCAATCAATGGTGATTTTCCAATAAAGATGTAATATTAGAGAAAGACAAATACAATATGTCACCCATATGTAGAATCTAATGAACAAACTGAACTAACAAGCAGGATAGAGGCAGACTCATGGATAGAGAGCAGGGTGACAGGTAAGGAGGGGAAGTTAGGGGGCAGAGGGATTGAGCAAAAAGGAAAAAGGACTCCTGGACATGGACAACAGAGTGGTGGTTGGGCGGGGGCGGGGGGTGGGGGCAGGCAGGATATAAGGGGACCAAATGATAAAGGAAAAACTAAGGTTTAAAAAAATTTTTTAAAGAAAATAGAAAGTCTTCTGTGGCATGAGTCACCAGGGGCACTTCATCCCAGGCCCACGCACTGGCATTATGCCCGCTGTTCACACCGCACCAGCTTTCCTAACAACATAGGTCCAGATAGAGGACGGTCTCCTTCACGCTTAGCTTCCAAGTGCAGAGAATGCCATTTCCCGCCGAAGAATGACTGTTTTCAGCATGTCTCTCCAGAATATATCGGCTTTTAAGACGAAGGCTTTCCATCAAAGAGGATAATTAATTCTTAGGAGAGAAAGCAGTAGCTACGAGACAAGGTGCCTGAAGGTTATGGAAACCTCTTTAAGTACCTCCACAAGGCAAGGAGAAAATGTTGGTGCTCTCGGCAGCCCCGGAGCAAGAACCGTCTGCATGTGCTTCCTCCCCACTGACTCTCGCCCTACAGGGCCAAAACCACCCATTTAAGATTACTTTTCCATAGTCTTTCAAGTGAAACTATTCTAAATTCAAAACCAGGAAATAGAGTTTGAATAGGTCTTCTGTGAAAAAGTTTTGATGCTTTAGGTGGAAAAAATTTAGACTTCCTTTTTTTTTACAAGGTTTATTTAGGTATATGATACACCCCCAAAAATTTCACAGGATCAGCATAAACAATTGCTTGACAAAGGTTAATTAGATAGTGAATTATGCTGATAGGTTTTTCCCAAATGTGACGTATCTTTCATATTGAAAGTTACTTATTACAAGAGGCTGTCAGTTTGAACCTGGGATTGTGTCTGAACACCCTCACACCTCCTTAAGATCATGTAAAACAGCTAAGGTAGGCCTTTCAATAGTACTAATGCTTATTAAAGATCATTACCTTCCATATACAGTTTTTCAACACATTTCATTATTTTTCAACATTTTTCAGATATAGTAATATTCCATGCTTACTCCAATAATATCTCAAGTAATTCTGAGAACAGTCTGTGAGGTGGATACTATTGTTCTCACTTTATAGATGAGGAAGCAGGGATGTGAGGTGCCAAAGTAGTATACCCCAGATAAAAGAAACTACAACCTCATTCAAACCTGGTCTTTCTAGTTCTCAAGCCACATAACCACTGGGAAAACCATTTTTTATATTTTGCAGAAGAGTCTGGGGGCCCATAATTTGGAAGGAGTTAGAGGTGTAAATATTTGGAGCTAAAGGAGGGGACAAGGTAAAAGGGCTGTTCAATGAAAGCAGTACCACATTTTTCTTAACATTTGGGAATTCCGGTTGTCGTTGCGTGTGGTGTGTGTGTGTGCTTGTGCTGATGAATTTGTTCCACGTAAACTTACCTCTGAAGTAGCATTAAGGTCATTTTAATGATTATGGTCATATCAAAAAGAGATTACTAGTTTAACATTGTTTACTACAACATAACAATAAAGGGCAGAGTTCAGAATTTAATGGGAAAAACTTAACAAGTACAATCTGACCTAATCTTCGCTCTGCCCTTTATTAGCTGCTTGATCTTGACAGGATCCTTAACTTCTCCATGCTTGTTTTCTAGTGTGTAAAATAAATACAATATAGTAGCAACCACCTTGTAGGTTTGTAGTGAAACATAGTCAAATGCCTGCAGAAAAACAGATCACTGTAACTGTTCAGTATGTCTTAGTTAACATTATCATTATCATTATCAACATTAGTCTCTGAGATTGCTTCATTCTTCAAAATGAATGCCATGACACCAAATACACAGGTCATTATTACATTGCAAAGGCCTGTGTGTGTAAAGTATCTGCCACTATACAATGCACACAGTAATCCATCATTTAAAAGTGTTATTATTAGCTCTTATGAAGTCACTGAATTTAGGAAACATGCATTGTACCTACTTTTAACTGGCTCCATTCTTTACATTCCTATCACCAATGCCCTGTTATTCCTTATTCAACCGCCATAAATGTTGTGCTACTGGGATTCCTGAGTCTGCCTTCAACACCCTTGCTGAACCCCAGCCCGCTGCATCCAAAACACGGACAGATCGTTTACCTGAATAACATCTGAGATTCTTCCTTCTTCACACTCCTCTTTCTTCATCCTTCCACTCATATATATTCTCAATAATCTTTCATGGTTCCCCATTTCCTAGAGATTAAAGAAGAAAATTCTGAAGCTTTGCATTTACAGACTTTACACCTATTGACAACCTCCTTTCCAGGCTGGCTGCCACTCTGTGCGCAGTCTGCTACTTCTAGTTAGACTCTTGCTTATCTGGGATGACTAAGTGTGTACAGGCGGCCTCTTGCCTGTGTCTTTACAAAAGCTCCTCGTATCTGTAATCTCAGCAAAGACTGCATCTGGGAGGCAATCTGAGTAATCTTCAAGAATCCAAGAAGTTTCTTTCCAATACAAACACACACACACACACACACACACACACACACACACACACCCCTCAAAAGAATTCCCAACTTAATACAACCCAAGAATTCATTATATGTTAGAATAGAAAGTTTAATAAACTCAAGTTTTCATTAATAAAAATAACTTTCTCTTCAGGTAATGTCATCAACTGTCCCCCGAAATAGATGGAGAACAGAAGGAATGTGACAGAGTTTGTTCTACTGGGGCTCACAGAGAATCCAAAGAGGCAGAAAGTCATATTTGTTGTGTTTTTGGTCTCCTGTGCCATCACTGTGGTGGGAAAAGTGCTCATCGTGGCCCCCGTCAATGCCAGCCCATCCCTGGGATCTCCCATGTACTCCTTCCTGGCCTATCTCTCCTTTGTTGATGCCTGCTATCCTTTAGTCAACACCCCCAAACTGATCATAGACCCACTTCATGAAAGAAGACCACCCTGTTCAATGGGTGCACGACCCAAATCTTCGGGGAACTTTTTGTTGGAGGTGCTGAGGGCATCCTACTCACTGTGACGGCTCATGACGGCTACGTGGCCATTTGCAAGCCCGTGCGCTATACAGCCATCAAGAACCGGCGGGTGCATGGCCTGCTCATGGGAGTAGCGTGGGTGGGAGGCTTTCTGCAGGCAACCACACAGATGCTCTTCATCTTCAGATTGCCCTTCTGCGGCCCTCATGTCATGGACCACCTTATGTGTGATCTGAACCCTTTGCTGAATCTCGCCTGCATGGATCCCCACACTCTAGGGCTCTCCGTCGCTGCCAAAGGAGGGTTCGTCTGTCTGTTAAACTGCCTCCTCTTGATAGTCTCCTGTGTGGTCATTCTGCGCTCCCTAAGGACCCACAGCTTAGAGGCGAGGCGCAAAGCCCTCTCCACCTCTGTCGCCCGCATCGCAGTGGTCATCTTAGTTGTTGTGCCCTGCATATTTGTGTATATGAGACCCGCAGCTACTTTAGCAATTGATAAAGCAGTTGCTGTATTCAATGCTATCATAACTCCCATGTTAAATCCTTTAATCTATACTTTGATAAATTCCCAAATGAAAGATGCCATTGGGGGAATTATTTCAGGTGACAAATAAATATGCAGGATCCCAACACTGATTCGAGTGCGATAAAATGCAAAGGGCATTTTGGATGATCTCGGCAATAAATATTTATATAAAGAAAAAATTAATTGCTATAAATCATAGATTCTGCACTGGGGGAAGCAGAAGTGGATGCAAGAGAGAAAAACGTAACCTAGGACCATTCTTTGCATATTTAAAAATACTACCGAATTAGGGATTAGTTTTATGAGCTTCAACTACACATAAGGTTCACAGGCCTTCTTTCTAGTAAATTAAAGAAATAATTAATTTTCATCGTTCTTAACCAATATTCTCTGTAACAAACCAAGGAGGCAGGTGCTGCTGTTATCACCACTTTTCAGGTGAGGAAACTAACAGAAAACAAAGGTATCACATGGATATATCAGAAAGTCAGTAACCAGAATTGACCGATTTCCCAGATCATGCCCTTAACTGCTATTAACTGCCAGGCAATAATGATAGGAAGATCCGATAACCATACTAGTTACCACTTATTCAGTCAGGAACTGTGCTGGACACAATGTATATATTAGTTTATTATCTATAACTAAAATCTAGTAATTTTTAATTAACAAATGTTTGTTTTTATATATCACAATTGATTGTCATATGCTGCCTGTTACATTATAATACATAACTACATTAGGGCTATAAAAGCATCAGCCATTTAACCTCTGATGGATAGGAAATGAAGATTATGCCATGTTTCCAAATTTCCTTGGAGGATTTAGAACCATTTTCTATTGCTCATATCACTCATCTTATGCTGATAGTCCATAAGAAAGAATAATGACTCAGATAAAAGGACATTTTGATGTAATACCGGAATTTCTATTTATTAAATATAGTCATACACTATAAAGTGTTTGCCTGCTACATAACAAGGTTCATTGTGTTCTACAAGGTAGCACAATGTCTGGTACATGATAAATATTGAATGAATGAAAGTATAAAGGAAGATATACGAATTCAATAAAATGAAGAGCAAAAAGGTAGCATTGGAGACTAGGGAACTCTTTCCTACATTTATCTGTTTTCACTGTAAGGAGAATTCTGGTGAGAACTCCTAGGGAAACTACAATTTGTTTTTACTACTGTTTTCACTGAGGATGAGGAAAAAAATGAAACTACAACTCCCAGCATATATGCAAATAGTTTACTTTGCTATTCTCCCTGCTCTGAACCAGATTTTATTATGAAAGTGAGCAGTTTATGTTATACTTCTTTGTAAACTGGTGTACTTTTGGTTACATTTTATGATTAAAGTCAGTTTTTTAAAAATAGATGGCTACATCTACACACAAAGCATTTTCAGAATAAATGTATCTTTTGTCTTTCAGTCATTAATCAACAAATACGTTCAAGCCCAAGTAACCCCATGCCATGTGTCCATGACCTATGCATATATGCATATATGTTCTTTGGCTAATTTCTTCCAGCCTCTCCCACACACTCCCCTCTGAGATCTGTAGTCCTTTCCATTTATCCATACCTCTGGTTTTATTTTGTTCATTACATTCCACATGAGTCAAATCATATACATTTGTCTTTCTCTGACTGGCTTATTTCACTTACCACAATGACCTCCCGGTCCATCCCTGCCGTTGAAAAGGGTAAGATTTCCTTCTTTTTTAGGGCTGTAGAGTATTCCATTGTGTAAATGTTCCACAGCCTTTTTTATCCATTCAAATACTAATGGGTACTTAGGCTGTTTCCAGACCTTGGCTATTGTAAATAACAGTGCTATGAACATAAGGGTGCACATATTCTTTCTCACTGGTGGATCCCTGAATCAAACAGCAATTCCATTTTTAGCTTTTTGAGGAAACTCCATACTGTTTTCCATGGTGAGTGTTGTAGATAGATTTCAGTTTTAGAACAACTACTCTAGTTACAGTATGGGAAAGGACAAGACAGCCAACAGGAGCACAGTTAGGAGGCTACTTTGGTGATCTGGGTGGGAAAGAATAGAGGCCTGAGTTTTGGTGATGCCAGTGAGGAAGCAGTTTGGTGGACACTGCTGTGTCTAGCTCCATTCACCTTCACTCAGCCACTGCTCCCTTGTGCCCTGCTGCTGTGTGCTTGGCCTGCCAACAGCTCACAGCTCTACGATCCCAGGACCCAGCAGTGGACAGTGAATGACCAGAGCCTCGGTCCACTTGCACACCAAAGGGCCTTTTCTTGATTGCCAGTCCAGACTACAGGTCCTTGTTCACCAGCCTTCGTCCACAAGCACCCCAGGGGGAAGCTCCCAGGATTCCAGTCCGTTTCCTGCCTATCAGCCTCTGTCCAGCTACCATGAACTAGTTCTGGCCCAAGGTAACCCACTGAACTTCCCAACCCAATGGACAACAACTATACCTTTCCCACATGATTGGAATACCACAGGAAACCAACATCTTGATGTTATATAATAAGATTATTTTAACACCAACTCAACATTCTAGATCTATATCTTATAGCTTATAAAGATATTTCAAATTTCCAGGTAATAAATAAATATTTATTAAGAAGCAGTAAATTATGAAGCCAGCAGTGTGGGTTGGGAGACAGCAAGTCTGGATTCCAGTCCATCTTTTAGCTCTGTGCTTAAAGTACTCTGTGCAGGTACTCTCCAACCTCCTCTTAGAGTCAAAGGCTTCATCTATAGATCTAAGAAGCTTGAACTAGATTCCCTCTATTACTTCTGTCTGTAATTGCTCAATGATTCTGTTTAATCTTTTTCCAAAGTCACTTTTGTCCTCCAGAGCTTCCTCATAGCATTTTTCACCTCAGCATTTCTGAGGGTATAGATTAAAGGATTTAACATAGGGGCCACCATAGTATAAAAGACAGCAACAGCTTTATCAACAGGCAGCACAGTGACTGGTCGCAGATACACAAATATGCAGGGCACAAAAGATAAGATGACTACGGTGATGTGAGAGACACAAGTGGAGAGGGCTTTGTGCCTCGTCTCCAAGCTACAGTTCTTTAGGGAGTGCAAGATGACCACATAGGAGCCCATCAAAAGGAGAAAGTTTAATAAGCAGATGAACCCACTGTTGGCAGCGACAAAGAGACCAAGGAAGTGAGTGTCCATGCAAACGAGTTTCAACAAAGGGTACAAGTCACACATGAAATGATCGATCACATTGGGGCCACAGAAGGGCAGCCAGACTGTGAAGACAGTCTGAATGGTCGCATGGAGAAATCCCCCAGCCCAGGCCACGCCCAACAGGAGAGTACACAGCCGGTGGTTCATGGTGGTGGTATAGTGCAGCGGTTTGCAAATGGCAACGTAGCGGTCGTAGGCCATCACCGTCAGCAGGATGATCTCAGTAGCACCAAAAATGTGTTCTGCATAGACTTGAGCCATACAACCACTGAAAGAGATTACCTTCTTCCCGAGAAGGGAGTCCAAAATCATCTTAGGAGCTGAAGAAGAAGAATAGACTATGTCTATCCAGGAAAGGTGGGCCAAGAAGAAGTACATGGGGGAGTTCAGAGCCCGGCTGGTGGTAATGGTAACCACAATTAGCAGGTTGCCTGAGAGTGTTACCAGGTATAGAATCAAGAATATCAGAAATACTACCTTCTGCATATGGGGATTCTGTGTAAGACCCATTAAAATGAATTCAGTCACATTCCTTTTATTCTCCATCTGTGTGATATGAGTGATAAAAATTCCCAGAAGAAATGCTTTACCTTTAAAAAATAAAGAAGAAAAAAGGAACTTAAACCATCGATACTGATATTCAATAAACCACGTCTAAATAATCAACCGGATAAGGTTATTGCAAAGTCTATTTCCATTTACTTGATGAGGAATACACGTATCATTTGAATAAACTCCCAAATAGTATTTAAAACTGAAGTTTGTCATTATTCATTCTCATTTTTTGCTGGGCCTCAGATTCTGGCATTCTCTGTATCTTGATGTATTCTTAAAGCACAGAGGCAGTGAAGGGTAGGACGAGCTGTCCATGTTACACAAGGGCAAGGCACTGAACGAGGTTCACGGAAAGGAAATGTTTTCCTGATGATCCCACAGGAGCTTCATTGAGAAACTAGCCTTAGAGTCTAAGCCCCAGGATAGTGGCCTCCATTCTGGACAGCCCACTGCATCAGAGAACCCTTCCAGGGACAGAAACCCTAGAGAAGAAACTTGAGTGCACTTCTAATTGCCAACTCTTCTCTAGAGGAGAGAGCCCTTGAGACAACCAAGGACTGACTACCATGTTTTTACAGCTTCCTGAAGGTCTATGCCAAAAGTTAGATTTCATGATCAAAATCAGACAGAAAACCACAGACTTGACTCATTCATCACCATTATTTCATTTCTTACTTCAGTTTCTTATAAATCTTGAAGTACTTAGAACACATTTTAAAACACTCCTCTTTCACAATTTTGACCTGCCTCCTTTTCCCCTGCATCACAGAGAAACAGCTTGATCTTATGTCAAAATTGACATTTTTGAGGCCCTCTGTTAATAGATAGACTCAAGCACAGAATCGGTTCTTTTTCTGCCCTAGTTCAAAGACCATCAGTGTGCCTATTACCACTCAGATTTTCTAATACCCATATTTTTACAGACATGAGAAGCAGAAAAATGTTGATCCAGCAGAATGACCCTGGTCTTTCATCAAAGGGCCCACGAACTGGGAAAGCAAGGACCTAGGCAGACAAACTTCTTCCAAGCAGAGAAACCTTGATTGTTGTTTAAAGTCCACATGTTCAAATATTTTGAAATGCAAAGTTTTATTGTAACTCTGCTTTTACCCTTTTTCATAGCATGCAGACATTTATTCTCACGCCATGTGGTTCCTATAGTGATAGTTTTTGTGAAGTGTTTGCCCTGTACTCGGCACTAGGCTAAGTATTTTACATGCATAGTTCACTTAATCTTCACAACGGTGCTGTGAGATTGGTACACTCTTATCTATATTTTAAAGAAAAGGAAACTGATTAGGAGAAGATAAATGACTTGCCCAAAGTCATAGTAATGAAAGAAAACACAGGAACCTATATTCAAATCCAGGAGGTCTGTCTCTAGCTCTGTAACATTAGGCCTTCTCCAGTATAGAGCCAGTTTACTTCTAGGAATCATCAATGTCACAGTTTGGACAAGTGGCTTGGTACCTAACACTGTCACTGCGACCACATGAAATCCGTAGCAGTGCTTTGGCTAACCTATCAAATGTTAATGAGTTTGAGGGTCCACTGGACAAGACCCTAGTGGTTGTACCTTAGAAATTCTTCAGAACATTGCAGCCTATCAACTAACACGCTCTTTAACGAAAAGGAAACTGAAGCCCAGAGAAGTAAAGTTCAAGGAAACTCAGCTAATTGATTAGTTTCAGATCACAACCAGAATACAAACCTTCTAATGCCCAACATAGTCATTTTTTCCCACCACCACACCTTACCTTTCTTATGATGCCTTCAGATAAGCTGTATACAAGGAAAAATCACCCTTGGGTGACAAAGAAAATTAACTTCCATCTCTTCTCTTTAGCAATACCTCTCTTGACTCTCTAGAAAGGGACTAAGCTCAGACGTGCAGGAATTCAGTTATATTGTTGGGACGACAATCCATGTAGCAGAAATAAGGTCTTACTTGGTTGGAACAGATCCAAGAAAGTTTGACTCTCCCCCTTCCTTCATGCCTGTAAATTATCAAAGTCACAGCACCGTTTCAAGGAAATGAGAGACTGTGCATAAGCCAGCCTCTGACTATCCAAACCATCACACCGCATGTTCTACCCCTGGAGGAAACCTTCAGTGACCCATCCAGCTCCACTCTGCTGTGCTACTTCAGTGTCTCACTCTCCCAAGCCCAGAAATTCCCTCAGGGATCCAGAGAATATAAACCTGTCCCTCATAATATAGATATATCCATACGCAGTGAGAAGAGCAAATATTTCTGCAAAATATCCTAAAATGTCTCTAAGGGGTCCCCATTAAATATCAGAAAGTAATACATCAATGATTTTAATTATAAACCCCTTGGTAGAAAACAGAAATGTAAAAACTAGATTAAAAATAAGCAATTCTGGTAACTTACTGTGGTGGCCTCTGTAGTTAAGGAGAATGTCCAATGTATTTAGAAATAAGAAACAACCATATATGTAGCCATTCAAATATCATGCTACGTAATGGATATTTTTCAAGCCCCTACTGACTGGACAATATTACAGGAAGCACAGAATATGAAAATGGCACAAATTTATCCAAATGGATTCATCCAGTATTTTTAAAGCTCCAATGCCTTAGAAATTCAAGTCAAAGGGGAAAAAATGAGATGTTGAACTCGAAACCCTAAGTCCTCAGGTACCAGGGGGAACTTCTGATCTTCAGCATCTAGTTCTCTAGTTACAGAACAAGAGACACAAATGTTTCTATCTCTTAATAACCAACCCCTCTCATTTCGCTCTTAAAATAAGAAAACACCCTCCTTTTTAGTGTACAGAGAGGATGCTGGCAGCCTTAAAGGACCTATCTATCTATCTAAGGCTTGGCCCTCCAAGGAATTAATTATCTCTGTTTTTGAAAAATCTTGCCTTAGAGAAAGGTCAAGTTAAGGAACACGTATAAAGGATCGAAGGACAAAGACAATGAGGGGAGAGGGTTGAATGTGGGAGGTGGGGATGGGTTGGGCAGGGGAGAGTAATGGGGGGAAAATGGGGACAGCTGTAACTGAACAACAATAAAAAAAAGATCTTGCCTTAGAAACAAGTATTTGGGAGAATTCCACTATGAACAACACATCTTCTCCTGACTGGTTCTTCTTCCTGCATTTAACCTTATGTAGTAATAGCCTATATTCCCAGCCTAGAAAACGATGTGATAAAGCACCCTTCTTATAAGTCCTTGAGTATGGGGTATAAAGGACTCTCTATGTCGTGTAAACAACAACATGGGGCTTCAATTCAGGTGGTGTGTCCCTGAGGAAATGTCCTCTCTGGCTGAGGTCAACAGAGGAGGTTGAGGTACTGAGTCAGCTTCTCAACTGTTCTATACACACATCAGGTCATACTCTAGTTGCAGCAATTTTGCAACTTGACATATTTTCAGGCAGAATGATATCTAGAGTTGGAGGCCAATTGAAGGCTAAAATTCTAGCACCAACTTGTATGGTACAAAAATATTAAAAGGTTAATTTTTATCTCTTTTGTTGACTTTTGGGGGGAGTCTAGGAATTCCATTGGCCATCTAGTGAGAGAAGCCTTGCCTGACTAAACAGATTTCTTCAGACTTTCTCCACACATGATATCCTCAGACAATGGAGACCTGAAAAGCCATGTATGTTCTGCCACCTTGCAAACATATACTAAAGCAAGTACTCTACAGCTTTAGGAGAGGGTGTTGTTTAAATAACATAGCATAAGAGCTGAAACAGCTGCTATACTTAAATGTGTGGATAGGCAGCGGATAGAGTACTCGGGAAAATAGTAATAATAGCATCTACCATTACTGAGCATTATATCTTTTATCCTGCTAATATGGTGTATTACATTGATTGATTTTTATATATTAAACCATCTTCGCATTCCTAAAATAAATCCCACTTGGAGTATAATCCTTTTTATAGGCTACTGGATTCAGTTTGTTAGTATTTTATTGAGTATTTTTGTATCTATATTTATAAGAGTTGGTTGCAGTTTTCTTTTCGTGATATCTTTGTCTAATTTAGATATCAGGATAACACTGGTCTTATATAATGATTTGGAAAGTGTTCCTTTCTCTTATCTTTTTTGGAAGAGTTTGTCAAGGATTGGTATTTGTTCTTCCTTAGAAGTTCAGTAAAATTCACATCCAGGTGAAGCCATCTTGGCCTGCTTTTTTGTGTGTGGGGGAAGTTGTGTTTTTTTTTAATTGACATTACTAACTCAATCTCTTAACTCATTATAAGTTGCCGAGACCATGTGGATTAGTGGTCCCTGAGTGGGAGCAACAGGAGATTTTGAAAAGACAACACAACACAAAGACACAACACAAGACAATTTAGAGAAAAGCAGGCACCAGGTGGGGCATTGTCCTCTGATGGAGAGACAAGGACAATGACAATGACCATGACCAAAGTCTCCGCCTTATTTTAGAGGGGTTGGTTAGATAAAGCTCAAGGGAGTTTTGCAGCCTTAGGGGAAGGCTGTGGGCAAGGATTGCTCCCTTCCCAGGCTACCTACATGATAGAACTTTCTTCTGCAAAGGTTGCAGTCGTCTTCAGCAGAAGCTTGCGGGTATCTACTCCCTTCTCAACACCCCCTTCGCCCCCCGCCCCCAGGCTCGGGCTGTCGCCAGTTGCCAGCTTGCTCCGCTTTGCTGATATCAAGCGGTCAAGCGCCGCTTTGCCAAGCGCTTAACCTGGCTTTTGATGTCAGCCTTCATCATCCCCAGCACAAGTATATTCAGACTGTCTATTTCATTTGCATCAGTTTCAGTAGTTTGTGTATTACTAAGAATTTGTCTGTTTCATCTATTATGTAAATTGTTGGTAAACAACTGTTCATAGCATCCCCTTATAATCTTTATTTTTGTAAGGTTGGTAGTAATGTGCCTGCTTTCATTCCTGATTTTAATAGTTGGAATCTTCCATCTCTTTTTTAAGTCAAACTAGCTAAAATTTTAACGCTTTGGCGATCTGTTCAAAAAATCCATTT